CTCTTGTCTCTCGATTCCGACCAACCCCGTTCAAGCAAACACCTAGCAGCGATGGCCTCACGACTAAGTCATTTTTCGAGGACATCTGTCGTGACAAAACCATGACAACAGGGCTAGAGGGATGGCTAGGGGCGGCGGAAGCACGGTGGTGGGTGGCGGTTGAGGGGATGGAGGGGCCGCAAGGCTGGCACTGGAGCGCTGGCGGCTGCGGGCGGTGGTTGTTGGCGGTCCGGCCGGTGGTCTGTGGTGGAGGGAGGAAGAAATCGTCGGGAGGAAGGAGATGCACTGTGATCTATTTTCAGAAAATTGTTGTAGGTGAAAGATGATTGACGACCGTTAGATTAGATATCAAGGGCGAAGAACCATCGACTGACCCAAATTGGGATTTCAGTCGACTAGCACTTAGCCAGTCCCTTACACTTTTCTTAGTTGTAAGAGTGGTCATTCTTGATCAATTTTCAAAGGTAAAATTGATACATCCCAAGGCTCTATGATCCAAATAAAATGACCAGTATCGAGTGATAAAATGCTCCATGCTAAATTATGGGCATCTGCATTTGAAGCTTAGTTTTCATGGACAAAGATCACCTCCCTGAATCCATTCTCCATTTCTTGAATCTCCCTGATCAGAGAGCTATAATGGCCAAGGTCACCTTCGCTGAGAGCACCACAACCGAGCTAGAGATTACTCTTCCAATGCATGGCGTGAGGTCTACACTACTGAGAGCAGTCCTGTGCTGGATCCTGCCTCCTGATGGTTACATGAAATTCATTATGGACGGCGGAACTTGACCTTGGGAGGTGTCCAAACCTTCTATATGGTCTTGTTCATGGTAGTCGACGTGGACCCCAAGAATTGGATCCTATAAGTAGAGGTCACCGAATACGTTTCGTTTGTCTCAAATTTCCAAAAGATGACATCATCAACATCCAATTAAAGTTGAAACTGCTCTAAACAAACCCAAGGATTCCACGCAACCCGAAGCCATATTAGTGTGAGAACTCTTACAAATTTTCCTAAGTGGAGGATCCCAAGCCCACCGATGTGGGTGCGGAGGCAGAGAGACTCCTAGTTGACCTTGCATTTTGCGCCTGAAGTTTTATCTTTTTTTCGGAAAGAGGGGAACACCCTCAGCTCCGCATCGAGTGATGCACACATCCATTTATTAAAAATGCAAGGTTCAACATCCGAGTTCAACAAATAAAATGCCAAAAATGGCTGCCCCAAGGGCAATAAAAAACATAGGAAAATGAGCCTCATACATGAAGTTTATCCTTAGCTAACTAAAGGAAAGCACGCCCAATCTTATTGTTGTTGTGTAGCACACCAGGGGGCCGGCGAGGGGGTGATGTGGTAAATGACTTGTCAAGTAAGGACCAATTTAACCAAAGTCGCCCGACCGACCATGCTGATGTTTCTTCCTTGCCAGGAAGGAAGCTTTTAAGAAGGCTAGAGCCTTCACGAAGAAATCAAGGTTTCCCTACTACATTCTCGAGCATATCAAAGACGCAGCCAAAGATTGGATCACCGCAGCGGCTAGGCACCTGAGTATCATCAATGCCGCGAGAGTAGTTGTTGTTTTCTTTTCAAACGGGCTATGTTCTGGAGTTGATATGTTGCACTCTAAAACTCTTCTTAATTAATGAATGAGGCAAGCCTTTTGCCTCTGTTTAAAAAAAAGTGAATACGGTGCGGCAAAGGTTCAAGCGGAGAGAGCGTCAGTGGTTGTTTGCAGAAATATTGAAGGGACGTTTCATGGCCCATCAGCTCGTGTGTTTGGTAATCTGACTCATCCTGCAACGTTATAGGCATAGCCGTGTTGTGAAGCTTTGGTACTTGCAAAGGATTTTCAGCCACAGATAAATTGCTACCATTACATAGATGATGGATCATGAACATCATGTTTAAGTAGGCAATACTTAGGTGATGGTTTTTATAACTAGTAGTTTATGTACTCGGCCAACCCATGTAGGGAGGCACTATTGAGCTCCCTTTAAGACGGGTTTGTAAATATTTTAGAATGTTTCGCATGAGGTTTATTCCTTTTCTTTTAGTTCTTATTTTGACTTTGATTTTGATTTTATTTTATTTTTCTGTGTTTCATTTTCCATTCATGAATATTTATAAACTTTTGCTCTCGTTAATGAAATCAAAATTTTCTAATTTGTGAATATTTTTAAATTCATGTTTTTTCCAAATTCATGCACTTAAATTCACAAATTTCTTTCAAAACCAATGTATTTCTTATTATGCCATTTTATGAATTAGCAAAAAAAGGCGGTCGTTTTTCCTATGCTAGTTTTTAGGCAATTTTCCTAAGGTAGTTGAAGCGGAAAAAAATCAACGAACATGCGGAGCCCAAACCCTATTTGTCGCCTTCTGCGCTGTTTAATTCGATTCTTGTAGACGACACACAGTGTGGGTGGGAGGGGAGGGGGATTCTTAAACATGCCGACCCATAGAGCTGGGATCTTTCCGCTTTAGGGGTACTTTTGGGCGGTTTTTTCTGTTTTTTAATAAATTGTCTGGTTTACAAGATGTGACCAATTTAAGTTTGTAAAGGTAAAATAAATGAGTGTGTTTGTTTGGAAGAGAGAAGCGCAGCGCATGTATGTAACCGTATTGTACCATGATTGAAAAGAATAATGCTAAGGACAAAGGTTAATGATTGGTAATAGGTGGATGAAGGGGCTCACCACAATTGAATTCAGGGGGAGGGAGATGATTAGTTTGGGAAGTTAAGGAAAATGTTTGTCCACTCGCAAAGAAAAAAGAGGAAAATGTTTGTAGAATTTTGTAGGTCTAGCATTATATTGGACTGAAAAACATGTGACCTATTGTATCATCTATCACGTTAAGAGTGCGTCGCAGTGTATTTCATTTGAGTAACAGTTCGCGAGTTACATTATTCTGGGCACCAATCTTGAGCACTCGATTAAGGGTCCGGGATCTGCCGGCACCCAGCGGAACCATAATTTTCCGCTTTCATAAGCTACAGAGAGCCGGAGGGTGAGGGTGCGGGGTAGGAACTCGCGCAGTCTGCTGGAGCGAAGGTCACGGTGCCCTTGTCGAGGTCGTACCCAACGTGCATGTTCTGCTGGGCGATGTTCCCAATGATCGACGCCGGAAGCTGCTCCGACTTCGCCGCCACCGCCAAGCACAGGGTCCCCTCCTGCACCTCCACGAACGTGTTCTCCGCCTTCAGCGTGACCGCGGCGCCGCCGCCCAGCCCCAGCGTCACCTCAGGGATCATGGCCGCAACCTGCCCATCCGGCACCCCGCTCACGTCGAAGCACAGTGGCAGGAACTTTTCTGGCGACTGGGCAGGCGGGAGCTTGATCCGCTGTGTCAGCTCCTTCACAAGTGGGTCTAAAAGCGCTTCCGGGAGGTATGTGAGCGTCGTGCCGGAGTCGACGATGACGGGGGACTGGTCCGGCGCCGCGAAGGTCTTGCTCCCGACCTTGACGGACCGGAGCTCGACGGTGTAGTATGCCTTCACTTGAGATGGGATCAGCGGCGTCGCCGCCGCGCCCGGATCCGTCACGGCGGCCCGGGAGCCGAAGTTGAGCGCGGAGGAGGCCATGACGGAGTAGGGCACGAGGCAGTAGGAGAACCTCCGGCCCAGCGAGGTGTCTGCGCCGAGCTGACTGACGAGGGAGAGGTCGCCGCCGCCGAGGCCGACGAGGCCGTCCCCGATGAACGTGCCGACGAAGGTCGTGGAGCAGCCGAAGTTGACGTGGGCCACGCGCGTCGTCCCATCGCCGCGGGCGCCCGGGGCGTCGGCGAAGGTGAAGGTCTCTGTGGAGAGGACGCCGCTCGTGTGGGAGCCGTCGCCGTAGGAGTATGAGTACCTGCACTTGGAGTCGGTGCCACAGGCTGCGTCGGGCAGCTCGCCGCACGCGCCGGAGTCGCAGTCCACGAGGCTGAACGTCGTCGAATTGGAGGGGTCGAACTGGACGCCCGGCGACTGCGCGTCCGCGTCACGGGCGGCCGCCAGACCAGGACCGTCACCTCCGGAGCTGCAATTGAGCCAGATGAGGTCGCTGCCGGTGTCGGCGATGGCGACCATAGGAGTGGGCGGCGTGCCTATGTTCACGGCCATCAGGTACTCGGACGACCTGGACGTGACCTCGGACACGAAGCCGTCAGCTGAGGGCGCGTCGGCGCGGACGTAGGAGCGCGAGAGCGCCGCGGCGCGGGCCGCGGACCGCCGCGCGGCCTCCAGCACGCGGGCGGGCGCGGTGAGCGTCGGGTCGTGGAACGGCGACCTGACCGAGTCACGGTGGATGAACTCCACGCTAAACCCATCGCCACCGCTGCCGGCGTACGCCGTGCACGCGCACAGCTGCGCCGTCAGGACGACGGCGACGAGCAGGAGAGCGCGGGATCTCATCATCCCATGCATCGTGTCCCTCCCAGCTTGGCTCCCAAGGATTAGCTCTACTGGGGTTGCTTTGCTGCTGCTGCTACGCAGAGGGCAGTATTTATAGGCGAATTTGCGTGAGATTATAACGGTAGATGGTTAATGGGGAGACGAATGTGGTAAGCCGTGATATGATATGAAGTCATGAAACTGTTGAGTGCGATTTGGCAGCTCGCTGCGTTATTGTAATTACGTGCTGCACTACGCATGGAATGTAATCAAGGGTAGATAGTGCGGTTTCCACTGCATTTTTTGAAGGCACCCATTAATTCGCGCCAAAAGATCACGACGAGTAATTAGCAACTTCTAATCTTGTAGCTAATCTTGTAGAAGAAGGATTATCTCCGGAATATCGACCACTGGAGTGGCAAGAAGAGGAAGTGTTTGATTGCTTGGTGCCACCGGCCACCTGGAAAATTTGTAGTAACCGTTCTCCCGTTTAAGCTTCCTTTTGTTCTACGTCTCGGCCTTCATGTCGGGCTATTTCAGCGATTCCATTCCGCATTTTTCTGCAGCAAATATGCAATCCGTTACACTTTTTTTAGCGGCATAAGAGTGGCATTCATTGATCAATGTTCAAAGGTGTTTTTTTTTCTTTTGCGAAAACTGCAATGTATTATACTCAATCACAGGTTCAGTACAGTCTGTTGCTACTAACTCCAGCACCTCTGGAGGACCTAATCCAATCCAAGTCAAAGTCCTACCCTGAGCTCTACCAAAAGTAGCTAGACTGTCGCTGGCCTTATTTTGCGACCGCGAAACATGAGTAATATAAGATTGCCGAAGAGTAAGAAGGTATCTAATCTCATTAACTAAAGAAGCATACGCTGAACGGTTCATATCCCCACCAGTGATCATGGCCACCACCATAGCAGAATCCACCTCAATAGCAATAGGTAGATCGGAACGCTGAATAGACGATGATAGTCCCTCCATGCAGGCACAAAGTTCTGCTTCAAGAGCATCTCGACAAGAGAATAAGGCTCTGCATGCAGAAAAAATAATCTCACCTGAAGAATTCCTCAATATCATTCCAGCTCCGGCAGCATAAGTCGACACAAAGGATCCATCCGTATTGAGTTTTACCCAGCCCTGCGCTGGTTTCTCCCACCTTCGACATAACGCGTCGGCCTTTGGAACTGAAGGCGCACGATCCAAAGTAACAGAACTCTTTCCTTTCACCGGGTCCATGTGCGTGTTGGTACGGACAGCAAGCAGAGAACCTAGGTAGGACCGTAAGAAGCGAATAGAGACTTCCATCGGAGGGGCTGGTTTAGCGTGTGTGATCTCGTTCCTCACGTACCAGCTTCTCCAAAAAATGAACAGCATCATGCACCGCTCCAACTCAGACAGGGGCGCCAACGCATGTAATAACCATTCCTTTCCATTGTTAGCTAGTGAGTCAATCTTAGGGAGACTCCAGATTTTGGCCATGGCTCTGTATAGATCCCGCCCATACTGGCATCTAACAAACGGATGATAATTGTCCTCCGGTGCCAGCCCATAGACCGGACAGATACTTGTAGTTTCCAGGCCAATCTTGTTTTTGTTTTTCCACGTTGGTAATCCATCAGTAGCAATTCTCCACGCATGATTTGCCACTGTAGGCGTGGCGCCACAGTTCCAAATAAACTTCCAACAACTCCTGCCGCCATTTGCCGAAGTGCTCGACGAGGCCACATTCCCTCTGGTCAGCTCATCAAAGGCTAGATGATAAGCACTCTTAACTGTGAAATTCCCGGACTTTTCTGGCCCCCATGCAATAATGTCCTCTCCCAGCCCAGGGGATGCTCTAATTTTCATTATTTCCTCAACATCTGCCGCCATAAAATATTGTGACAGAAGATCACTCCTCCACGAACCATTATCATTCAATAAGTCTGAAACAAAGCGAATCCGACAGCGTCCTTGCCTTGTGATCGGCTTGTACGAGAACGGTCGGGGAATCCAGTTATCGCGCCAAACTCAGATGCTCCTGCCATTGCCCACTATCCATATTAGACCCTTCTTCAACAACTCCAACCCGTAACTAATAGCTTGCCATGACGATGATGCACTGCCCGCAAAAACTGTGTCCTCAAGTTTACCTTCCGGATAGTATCTTGCCTTTAACACTTGTGCACATAGACTTTCAGGCCTCGTAATTAACCTCCAAGCTTGGCGAGCTAGGAGAGCTTGATTGAATAGCCGAAAGTCTCGAAAACCAGCACCTCCTCTATCCTTAGGCTGCATAAGGTAATCCCAACCTCTCCAATGTACTTTCCTCTTCCCATCCGTGGAGCCCCAATAAAAATTCCGCACCATCCTAGTGAGGTCATCGCAAACCGAGAAGGGCAGTTTGAACACGCCCATTATATAAGTAGGTAATGCTTGGGCCACTGACTTGATCAAAGTCTCTCTGCCAGGCTGCGCTAGATGACCATCGCCCCACTGGATAAGCCGCTTCGTAAGGCTTGTCTGAAGATTCTGAAACTTGCCTTTAGACATACGCCCATCTGGAGTTGGAAGCCCCAAGTATTTCTCCTCGAATACAGTACTAGTTACCCCCAAGACATCTCTGACTTCATCTTGTATAATTTGCGGGCAAGCACTGCCAAAGAACATTGAACACTTACTATAGTTGAGGCTCTGTCCTGTTGCCACAGCATATAGGTCCAGAGCAGCCTTCACCCGTTCAGCCTGTCCTCTAGAAGCTTCAAAAAACAGTAAAGTGTCGTCTGCAAACAATAAGTGTGAGATGCCTGGTGCCCGCCGATAGACTCTTACTGGAGTGATATCGCCACTTTGCACTTTACTATGCAATATTGCAGATAAACCATCCGCCACAAACAAGAATAAGAATGGAGACAGTGGGTCACCTTGCCGAAGCCCTCGCGACGGTGCAAACGAATCCAAGAGAGTTCCATTTAGTTTAACAGAATACCTCACCGATGTGACACGTGCCATTATCCAGTCAAGCCATCGCTGAGAGAAACCCATCTTTTGCATCACTTGCCTCAAGAAACCCCAATTCACTCTATCATAAGCTTTGGACAGATCAAGCTTGTAAGCACAGAAACTCTTTGTTGGGTCTTTCTCTTGCTTAATGTAATGAATACACTCGAAAGCCACTAGGGCATTATCAGTGATCATCCTCCCAGGGATAAATGCACTCTGTTCACTTGATATTAAATCATCTAGAAGCGGCCTCAAGTGGTTCACAAGGCACTTAGATATTACCTTGTATATCACATTACACAGACTAATTGATCTGTATTCAGCCAACTTAGTGGGGTTAGCAATTTTGGGGATCAAAACAATAGTCGTAGAATTCACACCTTCCGGCATCGCCCCCGTCTGGAAAAAGTCTCTGACCGCAGCAAGCACGCCGTCCTTCACTGTCCCCCAATTCCTTTGGAAAAATCGTGCGGGAAACCCATCTGGCCCTGGCGCCTTTAGGGGTCCTATCTGAAACATAGCATCAGCAATCTCTTTATCAGAGAAGGGCGCACACAGCCTATCATTGTCCTCTTCCGACACTGTTCTGTGTAACAAATCAACAACAGGAGCTGCATCGAGCGAAGAATCAGCCGAAAAGATGTTCTTAAAATAATCATTCACCAAGGATCCCATGGCCCCAAGGTCCGAGTGCACAACACCTATGCTGTCAGTCAACTCCCTTATCTTATTTTTCCTGGCTCTCCAAACAGCTTTGCTATGGAAAAATTTGGTGTTTCAATCACCCTCCTTAAGCCATGAAATTCGTGATCTTTGCAACCATAACATTTCCTCCTGGTACAACAGTTCATTCATTTTGTCAGTCAGTGTCCTAATCTCTTCCCGGTCAGCATTCATGTATATGAGCTCTTCTAGCTGAGTCCGGGATTTTGCCAACTCCCTCGTCACATTGCTGAATTTCCTACCCCATGATCCCAGCGAGCTCATGGTTTTTGTGAGAGCGTCCTTTAACTGTGTCAAATTTTGGACCTCCCCAACGGCATCCCAGGCTCCTTTTATCACCTATGGGAGTGCCGAATCTCTTTCCCAGAAAATCTCATATCGCCTGCACTTCCTCCCTACAGGTCCTGGGTCAGCCTCGCCCTTCAACAGAAGCATCACATGATTGGAGCAAGGCGATGGTATGTGTTCGACTTCAGCAAACGCAAACAAGTTACACCATGCATTCGTCGCCACGGCTCTATCCAGGCGTACCTTAACGTTAGCAGAACCACTCCTCTTGTTGTCATAAGAGAAGGGTACTCCCGTGAAGCCCAAATCCACCAGCTCACAAATTTCCAAGGTATCCCGAAAGGCCACCATTTGCGACTCTGCCCTCGGTGTCGCTGAGATATGCTCAAAGTTCCACATTGCCTCATTGAAATCACCCAAAACTAACCATGGGAGGTTGCTTACAGTTTTCAAATTCTGTAGTTTTGCCCACATGATATGTCTGTTCTCAACTCGAGGTTCTCCATAGACAAATGTAGCTCGCCATTGTACTGCTTCTTCCTGCACCCGGATAAGTGCATCAATGTGTCTCTCATCTTTATTCAAGATCTCCACGACATAATTCTCATGCCAATATAATGCCAAGCCACCACTCATACCATCACTATCAACACCACAAAACCCTTTGAGACCCAATCTGTTTCTAACTCTCCTCATCTTCTCTTCCTTCTGTCTAGTCTCACATAAAAATACAAAAGTGGGGGAACGCGACCGACAAATCGCCGCAAGCTCGCGAACTGTCCGGGTGTTCCCCCCTCCCCGGCAGTTCCAAATGAGGCAAATCATTGGGCCCAGCGGTCCTCCTCTCCGGAGGCCGCCTGCGTAGATGTGTCCATATCAATTCCCTCACTCTCCTCCACCCCGACCTCTCCTTGCTTCCTTCGCTTCACTACGGGGTTCTTCCCTGGTGTTACTTTAGGATCCGACCGGCTTCCCAAACTGGTTGAATCCCCGTACTCCAGACGCAGAACCGCATCAGCCACCTTTCCTCCCAAGTTTTGCCCGCCCGGACCACGCACATTTGCCACCCCATCATCATCCACGAGCCTCTTCCTCGCTGTGCGCTCCTCAGCCGATTTCATCATCTTGAACTGCAAGATATCCATCCCCACTTGCAGCTCCAAACCTCCCTCCCTTTGCATCTCTACATCGCCTCTCTCCTCCGCACCTTCTGCTCTACCTCCCCTGGATCCACCTCCTCTACCTCCTCTTCTTCCTCCCCGTCCCCCCCCCTATCGGGCCAGCACCCCCTCTACCTCCATCACTCCCACCACCTCTACCTCCTCGACCTCCAGAACCCACGGGTTCACTGACCCAATGCAGCCACTCACCCCATTCGCACAGTGCAATATCATGTACACCATCGCCACATTCCTCCACAACATGTCCCATACGTCCACAAAAATAGCAGAAATCTGGGAGTTTTTCATAGAACACCGAATACCTCTTCCTCTCCTTCAAGGTGATATGCACAAACCTTACTAATGGTATCGTAACATTAACAAACACCCGAACTCTCAAGAAATTTGATGGGTTGATCCTTCCTTCATTCATCGTGACTGTAAAGGGAGGTTCTCCCACCTTCTTTGCTACCTTCTCAGCCAGCTCCTTCTTCCTCGTCAACCCGTCCGGCAATCCTTTTATTCTTGCCCATAGGGGATACATGTTTAGCTCATATTCTTCTACATCCGAAAAACCATCGTACTCAACTAACACCACCGGATCTCTCCTGAACTGCCATGGTCCCCCTTCCATCACACGCTTCCAGTCCCCCAAGCAATGGCATTGAGCCAAGAACAAGTTGGGACCCTTAATGTTGAAGGTCACCCCCTGCGCACAAGCCCACGCGTTCCTCATGGAGTTCAACAGAGAAGCATGGCTAAACGGCCGAAGGGTATGAACCCTAAAAAGCGCCATCCAGCGCACGTCCTTGATCAAGTCCTCAAACT